CCATGATTCCCAGTATTGTGTGGTTGTCCTCCATTTTGTGATTGTAATTTTATATTAAAGAGGATTAGGGTGGGATTGTAACACCCTTACTAAGGTCACATCCCTGATGCAATGTAAAGGGGGTTTCCCTGGGGTGTGGCCTGCACCACCTTTTATCTTACAAGAGATAAAAGGGAAGCAAGCAGAGAGTTGGGGACCTCATACCACCAAGAAAGCAGCACCAGGAGCACAGTGCATCCTTTGTACCTGGGGTCCCTGCACCTGAGAAGCTACTCAACCAGGGTAAGATTGATGAGAAGGACCTTCCTCCAGAGCTGACAGAGAGAGAAAGCCTTCCCCTGGAGCTGATGCCCTGAATTTGGACTTATAGCCTACTAGATTCTGAGTGAATAAATTTTTCTTTGTTAAAGCCATCCACTTGTGGTATTTTTGTTACAGAAGCACTAGATGACTAAGACAGAATTTGGTACTGAGAGAGTGGGGTGCTGCTCTAACAGATACCTAAAACGTGGAAGCGGTTTTGAAACTGAACATACAGACGTGTGGTAGCGGAAGAGGACCAGCAGCAGCAGAGAACCTGCAGCAGCAGAGAAGCGGCAGTGGCGGAAAACCAGCAGCAGCAGAACCAGGAGACCAGGGTCAGATGTCACTGGAGCTGACCATGGAGCGAGTGAGCTGAGTGCCTGTGTGCAGGAGGCTTCCTGGCAGAGTGGGGTGCCTCTAGGCACTTACTGGTGGAGCTACAAGCTTTGGAACACTTGCCCCAGCAGGGTAGATGTGGGCATGAGGCCTGAGGGCCGAGAGGCCACAGGAAACAGGAGCTGAAGAGACAGGGAACACAAGAAGCCGAGCTGCCTCAGTCTCAAAAGGCATGGCTAGGACCTCGGGGGTTTCAAAGTGTGGAGCCATGGCCTCTGGTGTTTCTAAGGGTGGAGTTGCCACGTAGATGGACTAGGAGAATGGTGTGCCTAAAGCCAAGGGAGCAGAGTTGCCATTCCAGTGGGCCTGGAAGGCAGAGCTGAAGCCCAGAGCCGACGGACCTCCACTGAGAATCCGGAGAATGTGGCCAATACCTGGAGTCTGGGGGGCAGTGCTATTGTGTGAATGATCTCCAAGAACACAGGACTATTTTCAAGCCTTGAGGGCTAATGTAATGTGTTCTGCTGACTTGCTTGGTACCTGTTATCCCTTCTTTCCCTCCAGTTTCTCCCATTTGTAATGGAAATGTCCAGCATGTGCCTGTTCTGCCATTGTACCTTTGGAAGCAGATAACTTATATTCTAGATTTCACAGATGAAGAAGAATTTTTGAATTTTGACTTGGAGTTAAGACTTTTGCTATGATATGATCAGATGAATATGTTGTGCATGTTGCAAGGATATGATTTTTGGGGGGCCAAAGGGTAGAATGTCATGGACTGAATTATGTGTGTATCCATTTGGCTGGGCCATGATTCCCAATATAGTGTGGCTGTCCTCCATTTTGTGATTATAATTTTATGTTAAAGAGGATTAGGGTAGGATTGTAACACCCTTACCAAGGTCACATCCCTGATGCAATACAAAGGGAGTTTCCCTGGGGTGTGGCCTGCACCACCTTTTATCTTACAACAGACAAAAGGAAAGGGAAGCAAGCAAAGAGTTGGGGACCTTATATCATCAAGAAAGCAGCACCAGGAGCAGAGCATGTCCTTTGGACCCGGGGTCCCTGCGCCTGAGAAGCTACTCAACCAGGGGAAGATTGATGAGAAGGACCTCCCTCCAGAGCTGACAGAGAGAGAAAGCCTTCCCCTGGAGCTGACACCCTGAATTTGGACTTTTAGCCTACTAGACTGTGAATAAATTTTTCTTTGTTAAAGCCATCCACTTGTGGTATTTCTGTTACAGCAGCACTAGATGACTAAGATAGTATGGTATGTGGCAGAAAAGAGTTGATCAACAAATACTGTTACTACTAAGCATGAGACTTGATTATTTTCTATAGTGTTTAGTTTATTTAGATCATTGGCTCCTTTTAGACTCCAGTAAATGGTCTAGTGTCTGTTTTCAGGAAGAGTGTCATGCTAGAACATGCTTAGTGATCTCATTCTGTACTTTCTAAATGAGCAATAGATTACACCTTGAAGCTGTACAAAGTCGATACCAGCAAGTCTCTAGTAACCTCTTCTTTGAGTCCTCAAAATTTACGAAAATATCTATGTTTAACAAAGCCCTATTCTATGTTAATGTGATTATCAGATCAAATCAACAGTGGAAAGTATCCACACCCCATAAGTGCAGCCAATCAAAGAGTAAGCAGCATTTTGTTCATAAGAACACCCAAACAGGTTTGAACAGGTCTATCTGTTTCACTGTGGCAACTTTACATTCCAAGATGAAATCTCAGCCAGACATTCCAAAGTTCTCTGCATTGTGTGGTAAGTGAGCATGCCATGTTACCAAAATTATGTGCCTGGTTTCTAATGTGAATGAGTACACTTAAGCATGCTTAGGTTTCTATGCCTTTGGAGATGATCAGCCTACCATCAAGGACAACATTCTTTCTGACACCAACACACTACATTTATAATTGACAATGGGAATTCAAATGTAACGTTGGATCAATTATCTATGCTTACCTGAACAAATATAAAGAAGTGATCACATTTCAAAAAACATTAATGCAGGTCATGGGGGTGAACATGGAGAATCTTATAATTAAAGAGAGAAAAAGAAGACTATGGGAAGGAAAGGAGACTAAGGAAGGAACAAGTCTACGAGTTGAGAATATCTGATCATCTTAATGCACACTCTCATTAGAACTTCACCAATAAAAACATAAAAGAAAACATGACTTTTAATGTTACAACTGTGATTTGTAAAATAATAATAATACTTTTTTAAACTAAAAAAGTAATGCATTTAATGAGGCAAAAAACAAAGCTGACAGAATTGTACAAAGTAAGAAAAAAATTAAGAGAGCCTGGCCAAGATAAAAAAGCTAACTATTTGTTAAAGTGGAGACTAGAACGTAATTCTTCTAATAAATGGTTCAGTATGCTTTCTGCTACATTCATTATTCCATCATTTAATTCCTCCGCTCATCTTTAAAATAAAGGACTGTAATGAATTTGAAGGCAGTCATGGGCACTTGGGGGCTATTGTCAATATTTTGCGAAAGAACAGTAATACTGTATTATTTCAGGGTGTGCCATAGTGGGCACATGTCAACAGCCTACACATGCTGAACACATACAGTATGTGCTCTGCCCAGTAAGAGTTCAGGGTGATAGCCAAAATTAAGCAGCAACGTGTACTCAATGGGATCCTCATGGCAAAAGATTGGAAACCACTGGGCTAATATTGCTTTAACAGTGGCAGAAAGAGTTACACCACCTCATACCACTTGCTGTAGAGTCGACTCCAACTCATAGCAATCTCACATGTATCAGACTAGAACTGTGCTCCACAGGCTTTTCAGTGACTGATTTTTCAGAAGTATACTGCCAGGCCTTTCTTCTGAGGCACTTCCCGGTGGACTCAAACCTCCAATCTTTTGATTAGCAGGCCAGCGTGTTAACCTTTTGCACCACCCAGGGACTCCAGGAAGAGTTAACTCCCTCCTAAATCCTCTTGCTGTCTACGCTTTATCTAAAAACCAGGAGATGAGTCTAAGCTTGAAGAGGGCTCGAGGCTTCATGTGGGATTTCTAGGTGAAGATCTCAGCTGAAGTCATAAAGATTATAATACAGATAAGAAGTAAGCCAGGGAAGGTAGAAGAAATAGATCTTAGGCCTCCAAGCCAATAGCAGAGGCAGGGCCTGTACTTAGTCTTATTAAGTTCTATATTTAGTTCCAGAAACTCATTTTTTTTTAAGACTTGTTTATTAAGCTTCAAGGCCTGAAACAGCTTGTGAAAAAAGCTCATGCTATTCCAGACACTGCTGCTGGGGGCCTTGGCCATGGAACACATCCCTTTTGAATCTTTCATTAGAGATTTAAATTTATCACTGTCCCCACAAGCCTTGTGTTTGTTCTCTTTTCAATAGCAAATTATTAACATCAGCTTTTTAATCACAGTTGATATTACAGAATATGCTATTTCGGTAAACGATATACAAATTCTGAGTTTAATCAAATTTTATGCATTTTATCTAGGCGATCCAATGATTCTTAAATTGAAACTTTTGCTGTTTTTCTCATCATTTACAGTTCTGTTGGTGATGACAGATCATTTGGAGGTCAGAAGCTTACATTTTGATGCTGGATACTGTGGTCAGCCATGTTTCCCCTTCCCTCCTAAATCATGTAAAATGAGAAACTCAAATCTCTATTTATTTAAAAAAAAAATAGTGCCGGAACAACTAGACAGCCACATGCAAAAACTGAATCTAGATACAGACCTTACACATTTTACAAAACTTAGCTCAATATTGATCATAGATCTAGACGTAAAACGCAAAACTATAAAACTTCGAGACAACATAGGAGAAAATCCAGGGGGCCCTGGATTTGGTGATGAGGTTTTAGAGACAACACCAAAAGCATGATCCATGAAAGATAAAATAGATAAGCTGGACTTCATCAAAGACTTCTGCTCTGTGAAAGATACAGTTAAGATAAAGAAAAGATAAGCTACAGACTGGGAGAAAGTATTTGTAAAACACATATCTGATAAAGGACTTGTATCCAAAACACACAAAGAACACTTAAAAATCAACAATAAAAAAACAAACAACCCAATTACAAAATGGGCAAAGATCTGAATGGATACCTCATCAAAGAAGATATACAGATGGCAAATAAACATATGAAAATACATTCACCATCATATGTCATTAGGGAATTGCAAATCAAAACGAGGTAACACTACACACCTATGGTTGTTGTTAGCTGCCCTGGAGTTGGCAGCCCCACACACAACTGAACAAAACTCTGCTGTCTCCATGATCAGTTGCCGATGGGACGTTGTGATCCACAGGGTTTTCAATGGGTGATTTTCAGAAGTAGATTGCCAGGCCTTTCTTCCTAGTATGTCTTAGTCTGGAAGCTCTGCTGAAACCTGTTCAGCATCATACCAAAAAACCAAAATCAAACCCATTGCTGTTGAGTCAATTCCGATTTATAGCAACCCTATAAGACAGAGTATAACTGACCCATAGGGTTTTTAAGTAGTGGCTGGTGGATTCGAACTGCCAACCTTTTGGTTAGCAGCTAAGCTCTTAACTACTCTGCCACCCGGGCTCCATTCAGCATCATAGCAACACGTAATTCACCACTGACAGACATGTGGTGGCGCTGGAAATCAAACCCAGGTCTCCCGAATGGAAGGCAAAAATTTTACCACTGAACCACCAATGCTTTGTGTACACCAGTTAGAATAGCCAAATCCAAAACACAGATGGTACCAAATACTGATGAATATGTGACACAAAAGGAACACTCATTCATTGCTGGTGGGAATGCAAAATGGTACAGTCACTTTGGAAGACACTTCGGCAGTTTCTTACAGAGCTAATCATAGTCTTACCATGTGATCCAGCAATCATGCTCCTAGGTATTTGCCCAAATGAGTTGAAAACTTATGTGCACACAAAAACCTGCACACGAATGTTTACAGCAGCTTTAGTCATAACTGCCCCAAATTGGAAGCAATCAAGATGTCCTTCAATAGACAAATGGATAAACAAACTGTAGTAAATCCATACAATGGAGTATTACTCAACAATAAAAGAAATGAGGTATCAAGGTATGGAAAGACATGGCGGAACCTCAAATACATATCTCTAAGTGAATGGAACTATTCTGAGAAAGCTGCATACTGTATGATTCCAACTATATGACATCCTAGAAAAGGGAAAAAATACAGAGATATTGAAAAGGTCAGTGGTTGCCAGGGGCTCAGAGTGCATGTAGGTGGATGGGCCATTTTTAGGGCAATGAAATTGCTCTGCATGATACTGTAATGGTGGACACATGACCTTATACATTTATCCAAACCCATGGAACTGTACAGTATGGAATGAACCCTAATATAAACTATGGACTTCAGTTAATAATAATGTATCAATATTGGTTCATCAATTATAACAAAGGTGCTACACTAATGGAAGATGTTATTAATATGGGAAACTGTGGAGGGCGGGGATAAGAGTATATAGGAACTCTCTGTACTATCTGCTCAATTTTATGTAAACCTAAAACTGTTCTAAAAACATAAAGTCTATTAATTATCAAAAAACAAGCAAGCAAACAAACCAAACAAGCCCAACCTGTAGTCCTGTAGTTTTTGACCCGCTTTCAAATCCTGTACCCTCCCAAAAGGGTATCAGTTTACCCTTGTTATATGCATTTGCATACCTAAGTAAGGACATATAGAAAACATATCATTCTGTGTCTGTATTTTAAGTTCTGTGTTCTTTTTAACACTATCTGAATTAATAGACTTTGTATTGTTTCTTTCATTAACACAGGGTAGCAACAACATCTTTCACTAAGAAACCTCTAATAATCCTCACTAAAATGATTATATCATTGTGTAATATGTCTTATAGACACAGTATGTTTTATCATATATGTGTTATATTGGATATATGTTTATTCTTATATACGTTATATATATGTGTGTATATACTTGATTATAGTATAGACCTATTATACAATTTACAATAAAACTTATATACCAGGAGAGTTCTTGTGCACTTGTTGGGCAGGATATTGTGTCAGCAAACCTCAAGGACAGAAAACTAAACTCAGAAACAGAAGCCTATAAAGATGGACAGTAAAAGCGGCTGAGGGTAGGTAGCAACATATACAACAAAGTTGCAGAAGTTTGTTAAGTGCTGCTGCTGAGATAATGCAAGGATGTCTTCCATATTTTATCTAGGAAACCTAAGGGAGCTCCTAAATCCCGGGATTAAAATTTAAGTAGGATACACTATCATCTTGCAATTTGTACTGCTTAAAGGAATGGAACTTTAACAAAAGAAGAGCCAAAAAGTTTTTTTTTTTTAAAACTCCACGATTGTTTATTTAGTACTAAGTATTCCACTTACGGAGCCCTGGTGGTGTAGTGGTTAAGCACTATGGCTGCTAACCAAGAGGTCTGCAATTCAGATCCACCAGCAGTTCCTTGGAAATATTGTGGGGCAGTTCTCCTCTGTCCTATAGGGTCACTATAGGGTTACTATGAGTCAGAATCAACTCAACAGCAAGAGTTTTTTTGTTTTTTTTTTTTAATTCCACTTACAATCTACACACACACACACAGGTTAAAAACATTTAACGAGGTTTATAATGACAAACATCAGACCCCTGCCCTACCCTCTCCATTCCCAATTTCTGCTCCACAGAGACGACCACTTTCAACTCTTCATAGTTTCTTCTGGTACTTGCCTCCATATTTCTAAACATGCTTATTCAGCTATTTCTTGAGTTTTTCAGTTTAGACGTCATCTATTAAACATCTACTTTGAAAGATGATTTAACTGTCTTACAACTCACTCCCCAACACACACCTAACTTCCCTTCCCCTCATTCTCTGTTTTAACATCAACATATCAGGATATTTGATGAGACCATTATTCAGTGTTTACATTCATACTGAGCCACGTATTATATATGATGACATTTCTTTCATAATACAATTTACCCCCTTGATTAATCATTGCCTCATTTTTCCCCTTTGCTTAATTTTCTACGTTCCTAAACCAAAACCAAACACTCTGCCGTCAAGTGATTTCGACTCATAGTGACCCCATAGGACAGAGTGGAACTGCCCCCTAGGGTTTCCAATTGTTCCTAGCCCTAATTTATCATCAAACTCTCCACTAGAAGTGTGTATCTCTCAAAATCTGAAAATATATCAGAAACTGTATTGGTTGTATGTGTGTGTGTAAGAGAGAGAGAGACAGAGACAGGGAGACGGTAAAACCTTTGAAATCCAAAAACTGTGTAAGGTGGAAACCTGTCAGAGAAGAAAAACTCAAATATTTTCCACTAAAATGAGAGAGAGAAAAGTGCCAAGACTGTCACCCTGTCAAAGGCAGAAAGCTTGCAAAACCCAGAAAATCAAGGCAGTCCGGTCAAGTTATGGCTCTCACAGCTTTCACTGTATTTCCCTCCGAAAGCCCCTTTGTCCTGCTTCAAACCTCTAGACTGACATACAGCTGATTCCTGGGGATTTTTGTCCCACCATCATTCACAAATTCTTCTTATCCCTCCTATGTTGGATCCCTGGTCTTCTAGTTCCCATGATTTCGTATTTCTTGATTTATGCCCTCATTTTCCAAAAGGACATCCTTCTGTAACTTCCTCAGAAAGAAGATGTATAAAAATTGTTTCTCAATTCTTAGAAATAATCTTTTATTTCTCAAATAATGTTTTCCCCTCTTCTGTTTTTTCTGGAATTTCTATTATTTTGATATTGGACTTCCTGACCTGATCCTTTAATATTTAAATTTTTTCTCTCTTTTTTTCCATTTTGTCATCTTTTCTATCTATTTTCTGGAAATTTTCTTGAACTTTATTTTCCAATCCTTCTGTTGAATTTTTAAAAA